GATGATCATGCTGTAGCGCATCCTCATATAAAGAGGCGATGTGATGAGGATGATCCTGATAGCGTATCCGGGCGGGAAGGGATGCGCCTCAAGCCAGCGGCTGCATTAAAGCACACAGGATGTAGGACACATTGATTTTCCTTTTTTGTATTTTATGTACATTATGTAAATATTAAATTATTTAAATAATAACAACAATTTTTTATGCTTACATAATATGCACATTATGTTTTTATTACCCCGTTTCTTCTTTATTTTAACACTACAACACAAAAACATAGAAACTTAACATAACTTAAATTCAGTACAACTAATGAAAACACATGACACGGGAAACATAAAGATAAAGTACTACACTCAACACATACATGTCATTGTTTAGTCACGACCCCCTAGTATTCTCTGTTCCAACCACTTAAATTTTTCTTCCAGCTTATTTTTTTCTTCTTCCACCTCTTTGAGTTTCTCCTTCAACTCCGTAACTTTTCGTTTGTATTCTCGTTCATATTCCCACTGTCTTTTGGTCAAATCATGAAGATACCGCAAAGAATCTTTGTAGTATTCCTACTGACAGGGTTCATCAATCCATACCTCAAAATTGCAAACAGGTTCGTCGGGAACCCTATAAAACTTGTTCACACACATCCAGTAGCGGCGTCCAACTTCACCATCATCCCAACAGTCTTTCATCATGCATTTTTTGCCGCACTTGCACCTTGGTACATAAAGGCGTTCAGACATTTGTTAAAGCGTAAAAAAACCTTGCTTTTATGGATAGTTTTGCTATTGGTTATTGTTAAGCGCAGAAAATAACTAGAATACGTCTGTTATTTATAGGCAAGGCAACATACAAAATATAGTATTCAACCGCGCTATATATATTCACACAAAACTTAGTATTTAAACGCGCTATATATGGCGTGTTAAAGATTCTTTCTGATACAAAACAACTTTTCGCAGTCGGGCAGCTTTTCAGAACGACAAGACAAACGTAGTATTTAACCGCGCTATATATGGCATGTTAATATATTTTCTGAAATAAAATAGTTTTTTCGCAGTCGGGCAACTTTTCAGATTGACAAGACAACACACAAAACGTAGTATTTAACCGTGCTATATATATTCACACAAAACGTAGTATTTAACCGCGCTATATATAGCGTGTTAAATATTTTTTCTGAAATGACACAGCTTTTTCGCAGTCGGGCAGCTTTTCAGATTGACAAGACAACACACAAAACGTAGTATTTAACCGTGCTCTATATATTCACTTATTTATCAAACATCTTCCTCCTCTGACAGTGTAGTTTTCTAACTGGAAAAGGTTAAATATCAATAAGATGAAACAAAGCTGTGGAAACATAATTTTATTTGATACATCTTGCAACATAAACAAGTACAGACACTTATTACAAAAAATATTACGAAAACAAAACACTAGGTGTATCCTTGATAGTTGGGTACATTAGACGAACTTGCACCAGGAGCTGGATTACCACCGCCACCCAAACCAGCTGAAGGACATTTACGATGGTCGTGTCCTGCTTGCGAGCATATGCCACATTAACGCGCATAAACGGTATCACCAACATCCATTTGGTTACGTATACGCGTTCTCTTTTGCACTTGTAGCTTGCGCAAATAGTCCTTGTTACACATCATTTTAAATGGTTCCGGCGGCCAATAATGCTCAGCACCCAATGGCTGCAACTGTCCACTATATGTGTTTACATTTGCAGCAATACTGTATTGCCTATCAACTTAGTTGGTTGCCCCTAAACCTGTTTGTTGAAAGCACTTCATGGCATGTGAGCACGGCATGTGGTAGATGGTCCATTTCCCACATGAACACAACCTGCTGGCTTCATTTACAGTGTGTAGATTATTCCCCCGGTGTTGATGGATAGCGGTGCGAACTTCAAAAACACCCCGGTCGTGATCATACTATAAATATGAATGCCAATGTGCTCGCCTCCTGTATTTCTCAAATCTTCTCATCGGTATTGGCATAAATTCAACACCCCTGTCCATCAATTTCGATGCACCTCTATGCCTTTCAACAAACCTCTCCGCCATCTGTTTGAATGTCATCCGGACCATGGCAATGACAGGCAATCCACGTGCAGACTTCAATAACCCGTTGAATGACTCTGACACATTTGTAGTCAAGGCTCCCCATCGTCTGCCACCATTAGCATGCAATGTCCACTTGTGAAGCTCATGTCGCATCAACCAATTATAGGCTCTTTCGTCTAACTAATGGATCGATTCCATGCGCCTCCTGAATTTGCACTGCCGGTGCTCAGTTGCAGCCATCCACATTAAATCATGCAAGTCCTTGTTGGGATATTTCTTCTGGAAATTGTCCTTCAGGTGCCTCACACAGTAACAGTGGTATGCATAGGGTTCCTTCCATTCAGGCAAATGCTGTACAGAACATAAAATACCACCATGCCGATCAGATATTAGACAAATACCTGAATGTTGTTTGACAACGTGCTGCTTTAAGTGGTTCAAAAATAGCTTTCACGTCTCTTCGCTTTCATTGGCACAAATGGGAAAACTAGTGGAAATATTTGTCCATTGGCATCTACTACAACGACGATCAACAACTTAATATCTGAATTAATATCTGAATCAACAACAACGACGATCTACTACAATTACCGGTCGACAATGCACAAAACCATCAATTGCTGGTTTAAATGCCTAGAACACGTATCTGAATATATTCCGGTATTCCTGGACTCCGCTCATGCTTCCATTCAACAACAGTCCCAGAGTTAAAGTGTTTCAGTGCAGCCATGTACCTGGGTAGAGATGAAAATGACTTATCCCAGTCACCATAAATAATTTCAAATGCACGTTTGCGCCCGAGATATGCCTTTCTTTTGGTAATAGTACACCCATATTCCTGGTGGATGGATGTAATACACTCTTTGATCTTGTACCTAATGGACACTTTCAAGTGTGGAATCAAGACAAGAGAAATCAAGTCAACATCCAAGTCGAAGTGATTCTCATTGAATGTGTCCATTTCACAAATGTGGATGCTAATATATTTACCCACTTTCCACAACCCTGTTTCCTTCTTGCTCGCACGCAGCATCCAGTTACAACCCATAAAGTATCTACGACATACGACCTTGTATACCTCCGAAGTTGACTCCCATACCATCATCTCACGACACTCTCTTACGATGTACATTTTACAAGCCCTGGATAGGTGAGCTTTATCGGGAAAATACATGCCCTTTGCCAGCACCGTTGGTCTAGACTCATCCCACACTGCTGACCGAATTTCGTCAAGATCCCTTGTGAGTGCATCCACATCCGGCATACTTGGCAAATTATCAAGGTAGGGAATATGTCTTGAATGTAACGGCACGTGGGACTCGTACACTCTTGGTCTAACGGGAGGTGGAGGAGCATGCTCTCTCGTCAGCTCAAGTTCGACATTCACTTCCTCCTCCTCATCACCCTCGTCAGGGAAGGGCGTGTCATCTCCAGACTCATCGACATTGTTGTCATAATCACTATTATCTTCCTGACGCTGCGCATCTGCCAAATCACGAGTAAATACGTTGTCTACGGGCAATTGAGTGAGGTCAGGACCATCAAGTTGCTCGTTTTCACTGCACAAATAACAAAATGATAAGCTACTCAAATTGATAAATACTTTACATATAGCTATATCACTTCACTTACAAGTCGTACTGTGTTGACATTCCATGATGGACATTTTTCTGTTGGTGACTCCTAGATGGACCACCGTGATCCAACACGCCAAAACTACGCATATTCCAACTGGGCGTGGGGTCATAACTTGTAAAATTCATATCAGGACGGTACCCCTTGTGGAATATATGAGTGTTAATACAAATTCAATTCAACAAAAAATAAACATCGTAACACAAAGGAAAATTGAAGTTTACCAGTCGTCTTGTGGATTATGTAAAGTAGGAGAGAAATTATTTCCTCGCTCCTCGTTCGCCCGCGGAGATAAGTTTAGGTCCGGCCAAACTCTTTCAGCCGGAACCTGTTGGGCTAAAACTGCTCCAGAATAACCACCCGATGATTGAAGGTTATCCCTGCTTTGCGCAACCTCACTATTGCGAACGTTTTCAGCCTTGACGTACATTTCCAACAATTTTATCACAATAAATTTCCTGTATTCATTCGGAGTCCCCAAAAAATCTCTCAGAGTTTCATCGTCTTCGATGTTAAACTCAGCATAACAAGCAACCCCTTACGGAGTCACAGAATACGGATATCTTCCGGTTATTTTAAAATTCACCAAACGTTTGCTCAATCTCATTTTATTGCATAACAACAATACCAGTCTATCGTACTCCATTGTAGGTGGCAACTTAACATGACTCTTTGGAGATAAACTATAGCTCACTGGGTTATTCGCTACCACAACCTCGCCCCTCCCCCCACCCCCAATATAATGAAACCCTTACTTTTCGCTTTTCAGACATTATGAAAAAAGCTTGAGAATTTAACAACAAGAAAAATTTATCACGAAGTTGGAGTATTTCTGAATGATAATTCTCAAAACCCTTAATGCCTTTATATAAGGCAATGCCCAATCCGGGGGTCAAATTTTTAGAAGTAAAACGCGGTTTAAAAAGGCGTTTTACATATTAGAATTATTGTTATGTCAGTTAAGCGCAGAAGAGTTATTGGTGGGCCCACTAAATATGGAAAACACAATTCATTACCGCACTTTATATAAAACGCGGTAATTAACCGCGCTTTATATACTTGTCTTTTCAGCTACTATATAAAACGCGATTTGCTAAAGCGTTTTACATAAAACGCGGTTGGCTAAAGCGTTTTACATAAAATGCGGTAATGAACCGCGTTTTACCTTAATGGCTTAAGGTAAAACGCGGTTCATAACCGTGTTATATATAGAAATGTAACTTTTTTTTTTTACGAGTCCAAAAGAACCGCATTTAGGTTCGGGACTCGTCTTCGGGACTCGTCCTTTCCCTTCCTTTCTTTTCCCCCGAGCAAGCTATAAAACCCAAATATTAAAAGTCCACAGAAAGAAAATCAGATTCTGGAAATCCCGTAATTAATACTTTATTAGTAGTTTTTTACAAAATAGTTGACTGAAAAAAATACCATTCCTTCACTAACATCGTCGTCTGCTAATCTGCTTTGCTTTTGCTCCTCGCACTGCACTTCATGATTTTATTGATGAAGGGAATCATTTATCGTGGTAACCACCCCTTTTTTGTTTTTTGTTTTCAACTTTTTTATTTTTTTTAATAGTTTATGGATCTGAATTAATCTGTTTCGATTTGCTTGTTCCGGAATTTATGTGACCTGATTTTGATTTTATGAGAAATTGTTTTGACGCTATGCTTGATTTTGCCATTAGTCTATAAGACTTAATTCCTATTTGAGGTTGTACTTTTTTCAGAAAAAATCCTTTTTCTTATTGTCGGATGGTATTAGATTGGACACCGAGTTTAAGATGTTAATTTGATTTAAATATTATAATAGTGATATAAAAGTTAGATTGGTAGAGAAAACATTAATTCAAAGTTAAAATTTTTGAATAGCTAGTGACATTTATCCATGAAAAATCTTGCAACACTAGGTGAATTTTTTTCATCTATCCAAGTTTTGGTGCACAAAGTTACTGGGGTACCTGTGCTTGTGGGAGGTAGAATTAGCCTATCCCCCCATCCCCCCCCCAAAAAAAAATCTTTCCAAAACATGCAATTTTTTTAAAACAGTTTGAAGTATTTGTAGCTGTGAAAGTTGTATTAAAATGGAATAGCTGCAAACATGAGGGAGTAATTCTTTGTCAAATGATTTTTTCTTAGTTTATATATCTTAGAGAGTGAGGAGTTTTTGTTTAGATTTGTTCTTTGTACATTTGCTTTCGACTTGAATACTGACAAAATCTATATTTTCAGAGGAGGTCAATTAGATTATCTCTTTTTGTTTGGCATTGTGCAAACGGTAAGAATTTGTTGACTTTACACCGACGTTATGGAGAAAAGTGGATTGTACAAAGATCACCATCCAGTGCAAAAGTTGGTAAGTATCTCAAAGTTAGCTATGTTCTATTCATACTTTCTTGTTCCTCAGAAATTAATTTATCTCTGTTTCTAAAAACGATCTCAATAAATGGTTTGTAACTTCAGTTGGATGCGTGCAATGTTTCCTCTTCTCACTTTGCCCGTTGGTTGAGTATGAACTTATACTTTGTTGTTAAAAGTTAGGCCAGTTGGCTATTCAAGTGTTCACTTAGCATTGATTTTGTTTCGATGAAGTATTCACTTAGCATTGATTACTTTAGTAATATTGTATTGACCTCTATATCTCTATGCAATGCCTTTGTTCAGTTGGTCGAGTGTCTGCTTTCCATAATTTCTGAAGCTGGACAATTCCTTTTTAAGTTGTTGATAAATACATGAAGATGCTGTTCTGGATTTCCTTTTTTGACTGATTGACTTCCTATTCTTTTCCTTTGCTAGGTTTTGCATTTTCTACACCATGACGTTGCTTCTCGGAAATTTATCGCAGAGGATTTATACTATGTTACTTTAGCGTTTAGCCTTCTTGTTTGATACTTGTAAATAGATAGTTTACCTGTAGATAAAATGGAATCAAAGTTGTTTGAAGTGTTAGATAATGGCCATAGGACTGTGGTTGGATCAAAGAGGAAACTGGCTTCTCAAAATTTGTCTCATTTATTTAGAGCTAGCGTGAGAAACTGTCAATTCAATCTAACCATGATAGCAAGCTTGGAGAGAGGAAAAGGACTGCTGAGTGTGAGTCTAATTATCAGTCACATCTCAGGAAATCTTTACTCAAGAACTACTTAAACTTTATGAGAAGCAGACTACCACAACGGGTACTGTTTTATCAGAATGGTGAATGGACTGATTTCCCTCAAGATATTATTCTTATAGTTAAAGAAGATTTTCGGGCAAAAAAGGCTGTTATTGAGGTGAAAGTTGGTGGCTTTCATTTAATGCTTGATCTTCTATATATGGTTCAAATAGATCTGATTAATGGTTTGCACAAACCTATTGCCTGGATAGATGAATCAGGTGGCTGTTTCTTCCCCGAGTCGTATCTTGTCAGTTGTGAAATGCATGGGAACTTTAAAAGCCAGTCAAAGAGAATCGAAGAGTTTATGGCTATTGAACCAGATAGGATAGCTGATATTAAGTTGCAACTTGAAATTGATTTTAATGGACTGGAAAATAGTAATTTGGAAGAATATATGGAAGAGTCAAATGTTGGTTTTAAGAGGATTAAAGTAAATCCTGTTAAAGACTATCAAGAATGTGCTGATGATAAAAAATCAGATGCAAAAGTGGAACAAGTTGCAGAGAATAAACAGAACCAGGAAATAAGGACTCCTGCTGTAGTTGCTCTGAAATTGGTGGATGCAGAATCTGTCAAAAATATGTTTGTTATGGGAATGAATATCATCCCTAAAGTGGATGAAATCAAAATTACTAAATGCTCTAGTAGTTATTTGAAAACTCGCTTGGAACTCTTTGAGAAGCAAATTGAAATAACCCTAAAATATCGTGGGAATGCAAATGTTCGATATGCTTGGCTTGCTGCTTCCAAAGATTTACTATCCACAATTATGAACTATGGCCTTGCACTTGGGGGACCTAAACATAAGACTAAATTTGGAGTCGGAGTTCACCTCAGTACTCTGCATTGTGCCTCTAAAAGGTTTGAATACATTCTCTTAATGCAACATTATCTCAGTCATAACTAAATATATTTTGCACCTTCAATGAGGTGAAACTCTGATCAGTTATCAGCCGACCCCCCCCCCCCCCCCCCACAAACTCAACTAAAAAAAAAAAAAAAAGAAAAAAAGGAAAACAATAAGCCTTAAAGAAAAGAACGCTCCAGGTTTTTATTTTCTTTTCAATGAAAAGGAAATACTACTGTATGCCGTTGGAAACCTATCCTGTGGTATGATTCATAATATGAATCTCCACATGATTAGTGAAGAAAGTTCTTGCTTTCCCCTGATACCGTCTTTTTCTTCTTGTTCATGTCTATTATTGTTTCTTAGAGGATCTAACATCAATCTTTCTTTTTCTTTTCTTTTCTCTCTCTCTCTTCCAGTGCAATTAATTGTGATGTTGACGAAAATGGCATCCGCTACATGGTTTTTACTCGTGTGATTTTGGGTAATGTGGAACTTTTGAATAGCCGATCTGAACAATGTTGTCCTATTGATGAAAATTACGATAGCGGAGTTGATGATCTAGAGAATCCTACTTGTTATGTTGTTTGGAATATGAATATGAACACACACATATACCCGGAGTATGTTGTGAGCTTCAGAATTCCTCCAGGAGCTGAAGGTGATCTCCACTTTCTTCCTATATCTAAGCATCAGGATGAGACAATCTGTATAGGCCTTATTCTAATGATTTGTTTTGAAACTCTTAGTGTCTATAACCATGGAGCCTGTCTTATTACTCCCTTTTTCATGTTGGGCCATTCCATGTTGTCGCTTTCCTTGAAATGGAAAGTTTACCCTTCCTCTTTTGTTAAACTTTTCAGTAGTATCATATTCACTTTTATCTTTGCGTTAGTCAAATGTCAGAATATAAGTATCTGTTAACCATACTTTGGGGCTTAGTTTTCCTTATAACCACTTTATCTCGATTAAATTTTGGAGTTAAAATTGAACTTAACACTTAGTTTGTCTTCTGGCAATAAAATTTAAATATTTTGTGTATGGAAAGTATATCAAGCTACATTTGTTTCAAAGTAACAAAAGTACTTTTGCCTTAGTTAAGGAGTATTTCATTTGACTGGGAAGTGAAATAGGAAAACCATTTTTGATCTAGAAGAAGTATAATTTCAATCTACTCTCTTTCTATACTCGACCAAACTATGACCATAAAAATGGGATTGAGAGAGTATATTTCCTTTTGCACATTTGCTTTCCGCAGATACTCTGAATATAAGAGCACGATGTAAAAATTGTGAGGTGAAATTCTCAATGTTCTCTAGATCTGTGAAATAAATAAATCGACAAGTTTGTTATTAATTTCAGATTCTTTAGATCTGTGAGGGACCTTTTTGTCCATTTTCCCGTTTACAGATAAGCCAGTGTATTTTATGTTTTTTAGCATTTTAATGTTGAGTAAAACATAAAATATTTCTCTTTCAAGAATCACGCAGCGCTTGAATTATCTCTATCACGTTTCTTACAGGACCCCACTTCGGAAATGATAGCCGGATGCATGTCTCAGGTGACAGTACTTGTTGTCAGGGCCCTGTGGATCAGGTACCCACAGATACATTTCCTAAGGACTTGGTAAGTTACAAATATTATGAACTTGGGCGGATTTGATTATATGGCCTTCATTGAACTGAAAGATGGGGAAGTTGTGGAGGGGTGTTTTTGACATGCAACAATTGCGAAATGAACTGGCTGATAATATGACACATGAAATAAAGTTGGGATTTTGTTAGACTTCAAAAGAAATAAAAGCACACTGGGCAAAGAACAGGAACATGAAGTTCACTCAACTCAAAAGACTATGTCTTGAATTTCTTTGGTAAAATGAGTGAACTTAAAAGAAGCAGCAACTTATATTATATCCTTTGACATGCTTTTTTCTTGTATTTGCTACTTCCATTTATCTCCTTGATCAATCATTGAGTTTCTTCCTCAGATGCATGGTAGTTACCTAGGACATAATTAATGACACAGACACTTGCTTAAGTACTATCTAGGTAACTATTTGATATTATTTAACGGCTTCGCATTTGTACGTGATGCAACAAATAATCTTCATCCACCATTCCAAAGACACTGTAATTGCACCTGCATGTGCTTAAACGGCAGTATAATTTGTGGTAACAGTAAATTCTGAGACTAGTCTATTGGAAACAGCCTCTCTATCCTCACAAGGTAGGGGTAAGGTCTGCGTACACACTACCCTCCCCAGACCCCACGGTGTGGGATAAATACTGGGTATGTTGTTGTTGTAGTAAATTCTGAGACTCTTCTCCTGAGTTTTGTAAAATTGTCTGCATCTTGAGATCAGCTCTGAAGTCCAGCTTTTTCTGTGTTTGCTTGAATCTGTACTGCTTTACTGCTTAGCCTGCCATAGATGGTTATCAACTTCGTTGCTGGCTTCTAGATTTAGCTTCCTGATTCTCCACTCTTGACAGTTGCTAGCTAGCAATAGGTATTAGTATAGTGTGAAGTTTTGGTACTTTAGTGAACCTTGTCCTGCAAGAAAAATTTCTATTTTGAAGCGTTGCTGGAATCATAATGAGGAGAGGGAGAGCAAATGACCAGGACTGTATTACGTTCTGCTTTTTTGAAGCAATTCCTTCTGAATGGTTATCTATTCATCAATTATCTGGAGTTCTTTCTAGATAACAGTTATTGTATATTCATCTTTAGGAAAGTGACAATCATCAAATATCAATGGGTAAATTGTCCCTAGAAAAGGCTGCAAGGACTCCGAAGTCCCCTTGGATGCCATTCCCCTTGTTGTTTGCTGCAATCTCCAATGAAGTCCCTGCAGAGAAGATGAACCTTGTTACTAGCAATTTTGAGTTGCTTAAGGTTTGTATAGTTGCAGATTCTTTCCTTTCTCTTATTTTACGCCTGGATTGTCGTATTTAATTTTGTTCTAAAGATTTTCTTCTCTTGGTTCCTTTCCCGACATTGATAGAGCAAGAAGATAAGTAGGGATGAATTTGTCAGACAGTTGAGGTTGATAGTAGGCGATACTCTGTTGAGGTCCACTATTACAAGTCTTCAGTTCAAGGTATGTTCTGTGTCTTTTATCTGTAGAGTTTGTGCAGTTGCTCACTTGCTCTACATGTCAAGTGGCTTGTTGTCTAAACTTGAGAGCTGGCTTATATTTATTACATGTGCTTTACTTTAACACATGCTGGCTTCTATTTATTTTCTTAAAGTAAATATGGCATTAAGTAAAGGTATTTGTGTTATTTTAGTTGTTCTTATTGTTAATGCATGCATTCTCATTCTATATTCTATCCTTGCATAAAATAATTACATAGGTTCTTGCATAAGTTAATGTTTTTTTTAACGAGGGAATTGGAACTGGTAACTAGTTGTGTTGTTTTATGCTGCGATTATCTTTTATTATTTGGGAAGTCAAACTAGCCCAATTGTTTCTTCTTCTGTTTTTTATTTATTATTTATTTGTTTTTTGTTTGTCTTTGGTAGGTACCATCTAAATCCTTTGAAATGGTTCCGCCAAAGCAAGAGCCGTAGAGTGCTGCCTTTAAATGAAATACTGCCAATTCCATTAGCAAAGCCACAGAGTAACAGTTCTTTACTGAAGTGCCTTTTCCGTGTTGTAGTGAGGTCATTTGGGAGGTTCGATTTCCTTTCCTACAGTAGTGTGATAGTAAAAGCATCTGGTCTTTTGTCCTAGAATATGGGAATACAAAGTAGTTAGTTCCTTTTCCGAACGGGCTTGATGGTTTTTCCTCCTGTTGTGAACCTCTTAACTTTGCTTTTGGTTTTCTGGTTAATTTTAGTTACTCCCTGAATTGAATGCTTATAAAGTTTGCCTTTGAGGTTTCTATTTCATTGTTCACTTTGCAAGTGGTCCATATGTATGCATTGTCTTATAAGAGATCTTTCTAACTGCATCCATAGATGGTATGACAATGCATCAAAACTGGGATACCATTAATGGAATAACTTGCTGCACCGCCTTCTGTCGCATACTGCTTGTATGGATGTATATTATGTATATACCACCATGATCTATTTCTGTAGCTCATCTTGTGTGTTTTAATACCTGTTTGATGATCATGTCTTCAATTTCTAGAAAAGCTAATCATAGGCATGAGCTTGATCTGTTAAGAACGAAGTGACTAGAATATATCCTAACATGTTTAGAAGTTCACATACTGTTGTTACACTACAGGTAGTTGTCGCACACCATTTACAATTGGCTTTATGCTAATTATTTACAACACTCTTTTTGCATGAGTTTTTCCCTTCACATGCGGCTATAAGAATCCACGAGATTGCTGTTCTCGTCAAGGACAAGACCCAGCCATATCTTTGACAGCTGTGTTCTTTCTTCATTTATTCTTTCATTAAATTGAGGGTTCTTTCTTAACTGAAGCAGCATTTTTGGCTTGTACAAGACTTGATGTGAACCAAGAACTTACTTTTAGTTGGTTCAGAATTATTATTGCTATACATTTTAATATTTTTCCATATGCATACGTAGTTTGAGACAAAAGTAATGAATTTAGTTGAATTTATTCTCTACAAGCAATATATTCTGGTAACATTCTTATATCCATGGATGTGAACTGTGAAGACTGGAACACATTAGGAAACTAAGACATTTGTATAAGCAATGAGCCATAGTCGTTAAATACACTTGGGTTGTGTCACGAACCGAGCCCTTGAATAACTTGCGTTCCAATGCATATCTACAGCTAATCTAGTTTGGTGATTCAATATTTCTCTGCAGGGGTGTTCATAAGAACTCGAAAAATTGAACCAAACCATAAATCGAACCAAATTGACCAAAAAAATCCGATACATTTTAGGTTTGGTTTGGTTTTGAATTTTAATAACCGATCAAATTTGGTTTGGCTTTGGTTTTAATAAAAAAAAATCGGACCAAATTGACTATAGAAGTAGCTATTTAAATTTATTAAAACACCTATATATACGTATATTTTTATATAAAGCTTCTAAAATTTTATGGTACATATTAGTCGATTGTATTTTTAGTCTAGTCCTTTGCTATTATAATAATCTAATTTTTTGCCTTTACATTCTAGTTTGATTGGTAGTTTTCTTTTGCTATGTAAAATTTTTTATTTCATGTTAAAAATAATCGATTTTTAATTGAGTAATTAAATTATTCATCACTATTTGATTCAATTATCATCAATATATCTTGGTAAATGATAAATTTCTCAAAGAGCAATTGGTTTGATAGTGTTATGTTGAAAATGTGGTCGCCGGAATATGTGTTTTGTAATGTATATCCCATATTTAAGAAAAAATCGATAAATAACCGAAAAATCAAAAAACCGATAACAAGCGACAAAAACCGAATCGATAAAAAACCGAGTTAATTGGTTTGGTTCGATTCCAATATTATAAGAACCGACTTACTTGGTTTGGTTTCTTCTTAAGGAAAAACCAATCCAAACCGAACCATAAACACCCCTATTTCGCTGTTAATTATAAGAGGGTCAGAATTTCAGTCTCATTCTTTTGAAGATTTTAACAAATTGGTTAAATATAAGTTACATTATGTGACATACGGTACTTTATTCTGATCTTGAGTATTAGTGACTTTTATCTGTGAATATAACAGTGTAGTTTCATAATTAAAAAAAGGAATTAAACTATTTTTGGGTAGTAAAAAGAATAAAGAATAATTAAAATCAAAGTGATAGTGGGTTCTTGTCGAAAAATCTGAACATAATTTTCTGCGAGTCTTTGTCATAAAAAATGTAGGGCATTTCGATGAGGTTCACTTGCTTAAATTCTTTAGAAAAGATTCAATATGTTTCCGACTTTTTGGCACTTTCTGCTAGTCTTATAATATAACAAAATCCTATACCTATGCTAAAGGACCTACGTTTGAAAGAAAAAAACGTCAATTATTACTTTAAGTCATTTTTTTTTGGGTATGATTGGAATGCAAATCATACCTTTAATTCTCTTTTATTATTTTATTTTTTCATGTATGGTCAAGTCTTCTTTAGGCATATTTCTTTTTTTTTTTGCTCTTAAAGGAAGAGTAGTTTGCATCATTCTCTCCTGAGAAATGTTTCAATGTCTTGTAGATTAGGGAATATGTTGAAAATGATTTTTCTTTCTTATACTTGTACCAATTGTAGGGTCTATTTCTAAAATTATCTGGTTTGAGAATTTTCCAGTTGGCAAAGTCATGCAAAGAATAAAATGATAACGAATGGACAATATCTCGTCCAATTTGAATGGAGTATATGTATTTTTTTTTCTTATTAGCATATCAGGTTTTCTTTCTCTTTTCTAAAATTACCATTTGGATATTTACTTTAGTAGTAAAATGGATCTTATCCTTAAATTACTTTTTGACACACGCATTTATTTTGAAAAGAGAACCATTGGTTTGACTAACGAGCTATAAGAGAAAGTAAAGTAAACATTCTTTCTTCGAATGAAATTTTGATGCAAGATTTTTGGAATAAAAAACTAACAGAAGTTTGCAAATTCACAGATAATCGGATTTTAAACCAAAAATTTTAAAAATATGCTGTGTGCCTTATTGTAACTTAGCTTTTATGATTATCAGAGATAATGAGACATCATTAATGTAAGTAAATAGCATCTTTCTTTTCTAAACAGAGAAAGGCACTAATTAAAACAGGAAAGTGACTCTGATTTGAAGAGTAAAACAGCTTTCTTGATATCTAATAGTAAGATATATACTACTCAGAAGATTATAAAGCAAAAGTATATACACTAATAAGTTAAGATTTAGTCAAAAATCCACCAGGAAAAAATATGTCGTTCTTAATATGCCTTTCTAATCTTTTGTTAAATATTATGGTAGCATCGTATTGAGGTGTCAATTCGTAACATGTCCTTTTCCAATCCAATCTTGTGGAATCTGTAAGTGCTTGACTACCGAGTATTTTTAAAAATTTAATGCACTTTTGGTGAAATGATAATGCTTCTATTAAAAAGATTAAAACATTTATTATTTTTGTTTTGCTATTATATTTTTGTCAATCTTTTATTATCGAACAATTTTAAATGTTATTTAGTTGTTTATAAAAACTTTGAGTGGTAGATATTCGTCACACTTTGTGGAGTTATACGTTCTTTATGTGTAGAGCAAATATGTACATGCTAGTGAGACAAAAAAATAAAATTGCAGTTCGTAATTACTCATTTGTGATATTGTCGGAAACTCTAATAAAAACAAGATATGTCTATACTTTTAATGTACGAAACAAGGTATGCTTATATATATATATATATATATATATATATATATATAAGGCCCCATAAAATTTTACCAAAAAAATCGGAGTTTCATGGTTCCAAGGTAGGCCTATGTAATGAGGATTGTAGAGATTCTTCGCGGCAAGCTTGCTTATGTGTTGAGGATTGTAGAGATTCTTCGCGGCTCACAAGCTTGCCGCGGTACGGACTTTTTGGGTTGAACAATGCGTTGGGGAGTTGAATAAAATTTTTGGCAGAGCAGGGTATTTCTGCGGTCCACTATGCGACCGCAGAATCACTCAACGGGCCCGCCGCAAAGTGAGGTAGAGAAATGGCCAATTTTGGAGGTTGTTTTGCGGTCCATTATGCTGCCGCATAACCATTTCGCAGGCTGCACAATCCATCTCAGATCCAGCATGGAGTTTTCCGGAGGGGAGTCCTACGGCGCATTATGCGACCGGTGAACTGGTCTGCGGACCGCAGAGCTGCCGCAGACCTGACCCGAACAACCCAGTTCTTGACATCACTTCTGCGGCCCATTTTGCGGATCGCATATCCATTCTGCGGTCCACTTTGCGACCGTAGAGCTGCGTTTGGAGGGTTCATTTTTTGGTTTTTATAACCCGACCCTACTTCGATATATAGACGTTAAGGACCATTTGTAAAGTAAAAATCTGATATTTTGAGAGTGAGGAAGTCTCTAGACTGAGAGGGGGTTCCTAAACTAATTGTTCATCAATTCTTGCTCAAGGCTTGGAGAATTAACAAGGAAAAACTCACTAGGTCTTCATCCTAGAGGTAAGATTCTACTCCCTGGCCCTCAATTTCAGGATTTAACTTAAAATAGGTAATGAGAAAAAGCAATTTTTGGGTGTGGGAGTTGTTATTTATGCATGCATATACTATCAAGGTTTGTCGGAAGATTGTTGAGCTCAATTGGGTAGACTTTGGATAGTGGGGTGAAGGAATCCATCATAGGAGGACCTTGAAATCATAATGTTCACCTAGTGTTTGATAAAATGCTCAAATGAGCCGGAACCATGAACTCCTTCCTAATTTGTGTTCAATTTTGTTACATTTTCAAATAGATCGAAGTGGCTAAGATTTTCGGAGTATTGTAGTAACTTAAGGAAGCTCCAGGCGAGGTATGTGGCTAAACTCCTCTTGTAGAATCGGATCCATGATGTCCTCGTAAGCTAAAGTTATGATTGGCTCGAGCTCTCATGTCTCACGTTCCGAGTTGTTTCTTATAAATTTGACTATTCCGAATAAACTTTATGTCGAAAGATGTATGTTCAAAATGTATTCCGAATGCTCTTATCATATTGTGTCTTCCTTCGAGATTGTATTCAAATGTGACCATGTGTCGAAATATTATGAATTCAATTATGTCTCAAATGCTAGTTATTATGCCAAATTATGGAGGAAAATCCAATGTGCCTAAGACTTTTATTCGCTCACATGTGTACTTAAAGCCTTGAGTAGAAATGCTTTGTTGTTGATGATCTGTGATGATGTTTGAAAGTGAAAAAGGTGAGCATAAAATATGAAATACGACCAACGTGCCAAGAATGATATTACATTTGGGGCCACTAGTGCCAATGGAATTATTGAAAAAAGTTGTAAATCCTTTAAA